TCTCACTACTATAAAGGCTCGGTTTGAGCTGATATTTCATTGGTGGTAGTGTTCAGGGTCACTGATGAGGAGTAGAATTATTCAAAACAAGTCTGTCTCACAGTCACACCCACAATGAAAGAATAGATCATTCCAAGCTTTTACTTGTTGTTAAACAAATTCAACTGTCTTACAGACTAACAACAATATGGTTGCATCTCTGAAATTATAAAGCTCAAAGAAGCACTTGACATATCACAAATTAAAATAATAGAGTATTATTCTACAAATGCGTGTATATATGTATGAGAGAGGGTCCAAATAAACTGCAGTTAGAGACGAAATTTTTGAAATGCCCATAATAACTAACATCAGTTTCAAAAGTTTGATGTTAAGAAATTTAGCTTCAACTAGTGGTGGCGCTATAATCGAAAAACCTTAATAAAATAATCATGTTGCTCAAATCTTCACCACCGGCAACTATTCAAGTCAACCTATATAAAACGTAAAATAAATGTGTACTTTGAAGTAAAGTTTGTTTGTTTTTGAATTTCGCGCAAAGCTACACGAGGCTATCTGCGCTAGCCGTCCCTAATTTAGCAGTGTAAGACTAGAGGGAAGGCAGCTAGTCATCACCACCACCGCCAACTCTTGGGCTACTCTTTTACCAACGAATAGTGGGACTGACCGTGACTTTATAACGCCCCCACGGCTGAAAGAGCGAGCATGTTTGGTGTGAGAGGAATTCGAACCCCGCGACCCTTGAAGTAAAGACAAAAATATCAGATTATTCTGAAAACAATTTGAATTGGGCCCGGAATGGCCAGATGGTTAAGGCACTCGACTCGTAATCTTAGGTTCGCAGGTTCGAATCCCAGTCCCACCAAACATACTCGCCCTTTCAGCCATGGGGACGTTATAACGTGACGGTCAATTCCACTTTCCATTGGTAAAAGAGTATCCCAAGAGTTGGTGATGACTAGCTGCCTTCCCTCTAGTCTTACACTAATAAATTATGGACGGCTAGCGCAGATAGCCCTCGTGCAGTTTTGCGTGAAATTCAAAAACAAACTAAGAAAAGTATGGCGATTTAATACCAAATGATGCCATAAGCCTCAAGCGCTTGAAACGAGTATATTAAATAATTGAAATGTTTACTTAGGTTCAAGTTCACAAAAAAATAAAAACAATTGGATACAAGCTGAGTTGCACGGTAAAAATTTAGTTTTGAAATGTATAGATCAGTATTTTTCAGTAAATTATTCAGTAAGTTGACAAAAGCTGTGATGCGAGAAATAAAAAATCATTTAATCATACAAAGCTTTATTTTAAATTAGATCGTGTTTGAGCTTGTCATGTTCTTTGAGCCTGAAGTCGTACATCATGTTGCTCCTCTGTTTCTTGCTCTCTGTAAGTTATTTGTCTTAGTTTTTGTGCTTGAAGTCTGGTTTGACGTTGTTCAGAAGTTTCTTGTTGTCTATATCCAGCTTGCCTTGATGATTCTG